GCAAAGGTTTTTTATTTCACAAAGTTGCTTGTTAGTACTAGTTTAGCAAACAGAACTACTTTCTACTAATGACCAAAGTTTAGATTACACGAAACTATAACACCATCTAGTTAATTATATTAATTACATATTCAGAAAAAATACGAGATTAATACCTGATTATTATTATTTTTATTACTCCATTTAAGTAACAAAAGTCGATAAAGAGGCAATTACAGATTACACAATAAGTACTTCCCAGTCCAATTGAAATTTACTAATTAACAAACTTCTTGTCTACCATACTCAAGTTAGCACAGCAAAGCACAATCATATCTTTTTCTGACAGGACCCTCTCGTAATGTCTTAGGCACATTACGAGACCGAAAACGCCTTTGTTAAACTCGTAAATGGCGACGGAAGCAACAATCAGCAGCAGGCTCGTTATTCATTGTTCGTTCGTTCATTCCCCCTTTGGTACTGTTGAAGTGCGCACCTACTCTAAAGGCATTCCAATGCCGGGTAGAAATATTACTAGGGTCATCCACGAAATCGATATAGTAAAGCTAACCGTACGGGTAAAATAAGTTGCCGGTCATGACCCCTAAAAGATATCATTTCGTCTCTGAAATATATTGGATCCCTGAAATAAGGCGATCCATCAAGACGAAAGATCAATTCAAAGCCGTTGGCATTTAAAATTTGAATAATGCCCTGAATTCGATTTCGTGCTTTAATTTCTTGTTTTCTCGCGTGACACACACGACGTTTTAACACCAAAAAAAAGGCGAAAAAGGAAATGACGGTCCTCACGCTCTAACACATATACAGAGCGAGCGAAGGCATTGTTGAAGTAACGTGAGTTGCTGTCGCCTCGACACTTTTATTGACAATCGCTTGCCGGCATATGGAGAGTTTCCATTCAGTAGGATTCACAAAAGCAGCCAATTACCGGCTGCTCTAAGGTGTCTAGTTGTCGATGGAAAGGAAACAATACAAAAAGGAATTCTAAAATCGATATACGAAATTGGTTGGTAGGGCTTCGTATGTGTTGCTTTACTCTTTTGTTATCGATAAACTTATTGTGTGACAGCCAAAAAAATAATAGATATTCCCACGAATTCGACGGATAGACATCTTGGAAAATAAGAAGAAAGTAATATTGCTGTTTACATGTAGAATATAAAAATAGTAATGCGACCATAACTATAAATACGATCATATTGAAAAAAGTAAATTAGTTAATAAATACATTTTTCAATTAAAAATAAAACTTCACTTCAAATATGTTATATGCAATAATAAACAATTATATTTTATTCTGGGATGTATTTAGTACAGATGCCGCGAATACTCGCTATTGTTTGGTGTTCCGCATTACTCGATTTTTTGTTGTTATTCGTGTAATACCGAATAATAGCGGGTATGTATTATTCGACATTCGGCGAATAGTTGTATAAAATAAACTATTAATGAACAAAAAAAAACTATAGACTTAAAAATAATCAAAACACACTTAGTATTAATTATTATTATTAATATAGAGTTAGCCAAATATCAAAATATTAATATTTAAAGTCCAATAGGTCTTAATAGTCTTTCTGAATAAACAGAGCTTGCTGATGTGGTTAAGTATCGTTTAGCAAGTTTACTTCAAATGGGGAATCCATTCTTATTGGTACTCATAACCTACCATTCATATGAGTTTATACTTCTGTCAGTCTTTGGTGCTGATTTCTTCAGCAATGGCATTCTTGGGTTGCTTTGCAGAAAGCTGCTCTGTTGTAGATTCTTCAAAAGTTCTACGTCTTCGCNAAGAGGGGAGGTATAACGAAAGGTACAGGGACATAATAACGGAGGGGCTGCCTAGATACTTGTTATTGGAAGGAGATGAGGAAGGGAAGAAGTTGGTGGCTAGGTTCCGTTGTGGAAACGAGGAGAGAGCTAACAGATACTGGATGGCCGATGAGGAGAGGTGGTGTAGGCTATGCAGGGAGGAATGGGAAACGTTGGAACATATGTTGAATGGGTGCAGTGAGTTGAGGGAGGAGGAGTTGGACCGAGGGCAGATCTTAGGAGAGGGGGGAGAGGGGAAACGATGGATGAGAATGGTTGTGGGGGTAAGGAGACAAAGGGAAGGATGAGGGGATGATTGGGCCGAGGAGCCGAGGGTATGGAAATGGAGGAAGAGGGTAGAGGGTGAAAATAATATACTAATAATATATATATTAGAATGTATTAAGGGGACAAAAATTGTAAATATTAAAAACAATAAAATGCTTATTATTATTCTTCATAAATCAAACCAGCCACAGAAAATAGTCTTTCTGAATAAACAGAGCTTGCTGATGTGATTAAGAATCGTTTAGCAAGTTTACTTAAAATGGGAAATCCATTCTTATTGGTACTCATAGCCATATAGGTTTATTCATATAAGTTTATACTTCTGTCAGCCTTTGGTGCAGATTTCTTCAGCAATGACATTCTTGGGTTGCTTTGCAGAAAGCTGCTCTGTCGTAGATTCTTCAAAAGTTCTATGTCTTCGCAGCGTTGCTAAACCAAAGACAATGCACCTTTGCTCATACAAACAGTAAGATAGGTTAAATTTGTGAGCTAAATACCGAGCAAACCTTCTCTATAACCCCTTAAGTTTGTCAATAAGTTGATGAACCTTAGTAAATATTAAGCAGTCATCAGCGTAACGAAAAAATTTACTGTGATGAAAACATTCGTGAATATCGTTAATATAGGCTATGAACAAAACTGAACCCAAGTGATTTCCTTGAAGCACTCTAGAAGTAACTAAAGCGTAGTTAGAAGTATAACTTAATTTTTACAGCTTGACATCGGAAATATAAGAAGCCAACCACGATAGCAGTCAATTTGACAAATTATATCCTTCTAGTTTAGATAGAAGTGTTGTATGATTTGATTTGTCAAAGGCCACGGAGAAAGCCGAGGTATTGCTGAATCACAAAAGGTGGTATCGTACATATTGGCAGAACAAACGCTTTCTTCCACTCAGAAAGAAAAATTGATTATAACTGCGAATGGCAGAAAATGATAGATTAACAAGCTTTGGTACACATCCGTCGGGACCAGGTCATAATTTGCTATTAACACGGATAAGATCATCAAAAACATCATCAATGGAGAACCAGGGACTATAGTTATTAAATAAAGTTTGACGTGCTTTAGGTCGACTTTTACTATCTACAAAAACCGAACTAAAAAAGTATACACCTCACTATCCTCTATGTTTAATTGAATGGTTTTGGGCGGAGAGATTGGAATCAGAGCTTAAGATTGTTTTACTCTTGTGCGAATACTGTCTATTAGTTGTACTTACTAAACGTATATAGTTTATACTTACTTTTTACTTACTTTATTGTTCATAAGATAGTTAACTTTAAATCTACCTATGAATCTTATCTCATTGTTCGAAAAATACTTTTCAATAAATTAATTTTTTCGTATAGTTTAATTATACAGTAGCAGAGTTAGTAGTATAGTTAGTAGCAGAGAAAAATCCGCATTTTAATTTTTTAAAACGAGAGTACATTTACATGCAAAGTTCTCTTTGTTCGGGTGGGGCGCAAGAAAAGAGCAGATACTCATCTGGTTACATTAATAAATTAACACTTTAATAATTCAGAAGCTTTCCAAGCACAATATCTTGGTGTGCTTAATTAACGCACCCATATTGCTTCAGGGCTTCATTTCTAATACAAAACAGTAAATTGAATTATTTACAGGTTATATGTATAAACAATATTTCATTTATTTTATAACATTCTCCACAGTTCTATTAAAGTATAAAAAAGTGCTTTATACAACCTTTTAAAAATTTGTAAATAATTTCATTAGTTTAATATTGAATTAAAATTCATAAATTGATTGAATATAAATGTTATGTCGAACATTATATCAATATGTAAAATAAATGCGTCCAACATTGTGATGTAAATTTCGTCGATAAAAAACTAAAAAAACAACCCGAAAATTTCATCGAGGTTCTAATTCAATATACCGGGAGGTTGTTGAAACCCTAAAATTGCTTGTCGATGCAAAAACGTATCCGGTCGATTAAACGCTGCTTTCGTTTCGAATTGATAGCGGTAAAATATTTACTTAATTTATAGGGAGATTAAGTAAAACAGGGCGCAGTTCGATATCAGAGAGGTGGAAACGTTTGCAAAATAATAATCCCTACTCCACAGCTACTTCAATTACTGAAACATCAAACTAAGCTGAAAAAATTTTTAATTACCATATTGCCAGAGTTTGCGATGTAATGGAAATTTATTACAAACGCAAAATTAAAAGAATAAAATGCAATTTAAAATGAGAATTATCGATAAAGAAAAGTGAATCTCGTTTTTTTCTCTCTTTATATAAAACAGTTTAGATTTGTTTTAATGTCATTATAAACGATTTAATCCTTTTCGCACGGGAGCTTTGTGTAAATTAATTTCGAAAAGGTACCAGTCGCAATAATTAAGTCTCTTATCCTAATGGATCTGATGTTGAAGTAAAATATTAGAGAAAAGAAAGGGGTTAGATGTCTCGCTAATAATTCATGAGATAGTGCCTGGTATAATTTAACGTTACACAACCAAGAAAAGTATATTTCCACTTTTTTAAACTTTTAAATTAACTCAACTTAAAAAAAAAATAATAAAATGTAATTACGCCATGAAGAGATGCAATAAACTAGCAAAAACGTCGGTTCAATTAATGTATAAATTACATTCAAATTCGCCCGATTTAGCTCGACACACAACGTTGTGCCAGCGGTGGGTAGCTTAATATAGTTTTTCTCTGGCAAATTGATGTTTTGATTTTTTTGTCTGGCTGCATTTCAAAATGAAAAATGAGCTCGAATGCGATTAAGGGCGCGTCATCTAAATTGAGTTTGAAATTTTTAGAGTCACCCAATTTGTAAATTGTCGAAAGTTTTAAATGAACAAAATAACAAATTTTATACAATAACAAATCTAAAATATTAATTTTCTTTTCAGGAAACGTTTTTGTGATAGCTGCTATCTTATTAGAGCGAAACCTTCAAAATGTGGCGAACTATCTTATTTTATCGTTGGCGGTCGCCGACCTCCTGGTGGCCTGTCTAGTGATGCCTCTGGGCGCCGTTTACGAGGTTAGCAACGAGTGGATGCTTGGTCCTGAACTCTGTGATATGTGGACATCTAGCGACGTCCTGTGTTGTACAGCTTCCATATTACATCTAGTTGCGATAGCTTTAGACAGGTAATTTTAAAGTAATCAAGTAGCTTAAGCTTTTTGAATTTTGCATTTTTAATTATAATTTTAAAATGTCTAAAATATCTATCATTAAAATGTCTCTTTCAATTTCTGATTCATATAGGTTGGTCTATATTGTATTTCTTTTTAAAAATTTAAAAAAAAATGAACAAAAATCAAATTCTCATTATTCGGCTCCAAGACCTTGGTGATGGTTTCTGGCTTCATCTCACAAATGGCTTGCCCGTTATTCGCCTTAAGAGCCTGAACCGTTAATGGATTGTTCGCATAACATCGATCCTTGGCGCGCAAAGGATCGATTGTGGCATGGGCTGTGTGGCATGGCGCACCATCCTGCTGGCTGAAAAGATCGTCTTAAATTTCTGGCCACAAAAAAATAATTTATCATGCCTCTGTAACGCTCACCGTTGATCAAAATGGACTTTCCAGCAGGATTTTCAAAGAAAAATGAGCCAATGATGCCACCGCTCTAAAATCCGCACCAAACTCTTTGAGGATGTGTTGGCTTCTCTACGATGCGGCAGTTTTGCTTTTTAACATAGCCGCTGAGATGAAAATGCGTTTTGTCAGAAAAGATAATTTTTCAATCAAAATCGTGGTCCATTTAAAAGACGCACGGCAAAACCCGAAAGCTTCTAGCGTTAGTTCTAATTTTAGTTCAACCTTTTTATTATATTGTTCTCGCCAATATGAGATTAAATAGTTATTAAATAGGCAGCTCATTATCTCAGAAGATCCACACTTATTTAGCAATAGTCTCATCCAACACTTACATTGTGGGATCTACATACTTCTTTATTATGTAGGAATGAAATGTGTTGCAACACTTTTGATCGACTATGGAGCTTGTTTTCGTCGCTGGTTCTTTTCTCCCTCTTAGATCGAGTTAAAAAGTTCCAGATAAACTTGTCTCATGTAAAACTTGGTATGTCTAGTTGTTACTGATGTAAGACTTAACGTCTTTTTACATTTATACTTTTAACAAGTTTTGATAGATAAACATTCTGCCAGTCGCAATTTCGCATCTTCAAAAATTTATCAAAACTATTACCATTGTTATCTGTACCTACTTTTTCAAAACATCCGCAGTCCCACGGAGGGCCTAATTGACAAGCTGAAACTAAATGAAGGCTGACCTTAATCTGTCTCTTTTCACTGATATTTGTTTCCACATTTTAATATTTTTTTGGTAATTTTCGATGACACCCATCTAGAATATTATCTTTTGAATTCATTCTTGCATTGTATTCTTTTAAATGCAACGGCAGCTTGAATACATCTAGATTCGCAACTGTTTTATGATAAATCTGTTCTTTCCAACAGGCCTAGTATAACCCATTGGATTTAAATCTGGAATGCATTAACCATGTATAAAACATGACTGGAATATCTTTCTGGTCGTTTATTTCTTGATAGTGACAAGATGTACGAAATATAGTTACCTCTAGTACTACTACTCTTGTAGTGAAAAGGATAAAAGAAAAAGAATGGGACCACATTATGAGACAAAAAAAACAGAAAAGTCACTACGACGATGGAGAATCTAGGAAACCTAAGATGAGTACAACAATTTTGCAAGTTAGAAATAAGTTTCAAAGAATTACTCTCTCTAGATTTGATCATTACGATAATGATACCAAAATGGAAAAGTAAACGGAGATGAGCAAAAATTGATCATGTTAAGTACCTAAGTGAAACTAAAGTATGTACAGAATATAGTTAAAGTTGACATTAAAATTGAAAAAACTAAGCAAGTCAATGACAGGAAAGAAGAATCCCTTGATCTTAATGACCCCTACAAGGACTTTACCATGCTCCATAGCAAATTGGTGCCGGCTATCAGTAAGGTTTCGTGGCCACAAAGTCGCCTACATGCACAAAAACGGGAACAATTTCAGTTTGGTTTCTTAACAAATCATGCAACGTGGCTTATGAAGTTATAAAAAAGGATTTTGATACAAAACTCTATACAGCGATTGCATTTCTGGATTCTGTCCAAATTCGACACCATATGGTTGGAAAGACTAAAATATAAATTTTTTAAGTTAAAATTGACTTAACACCTCACTGCAACACTTTCCTCGTACCTTGCAAATCAAACAGTCCAAGTTAAAAAAAAAACAAATTTTCAGGAACTAAACTTGTCAAAGTTAAAGTTTGCAACAATATTATGTAAATATGGTTTTGATTTTACAGCTCAAAACGTGGTTTAATCCTTATGATTATGTAACAATAGTTGGATATCACAGATTTAGTGATGATATACGTGTATCCTGGGACCTTAAATCATTATTAGATTTAATGTCCCCAGATACACGAACAGATATCATATTCAGAGGTAATGTTTGTTGACAAATTAGCGTTGGAGTTAATCACTCCAATTTCGGGTCAAAAAAATATATAGTGAACTTTCCAGGTTGGCAATGTCCAATCATCTTTTACTTAAAGTTCAAGTATTCTAACGTAACAATATTCAAGAAACTGTGCAAAATTGATCAAATCTATTACCATTTCAACTAAAATGTGAACTTTCCGGATGTCCTGATTTACAATACATGTATACATGTCCAAATAGTAATTGCTAGAGTATAACATTTCCCTTAGTTCTCTACTAACATCTGCGTTAATGTTTAATGTCTTGTTGAAACTATGGGAAACACCCATTATAAACGAACGGTGAACGTTTCGTGCAACACCTGCAGTATATTCGAAGCGAACGACTAAATTTGTACGGTAATGTTATCTATCCGATGAGATTAGATGCGGGGTTTCTTCGCCCTCATCAAGTATCCGATGTCGATCTATCGTGACTGACGCTTTAGGGCATTTGGTGTCGGCTTAAAATTCAATTTAATCGCTTTTAGCCTATCGCAAGGGACGGAAACGAATCAGAGGACACGAACAAACGTTTTCTATAAGATATGAAATATTCAAATACTTATATTTTTCTATGGCAGATTCTAGTAGAGAAAATGTTATTTTGTAACGGAAGCTTTAAAACGTTCGATGTTGCCTCAAAATTCAATTTGATTTCTTTACCGTCTTGATAAGAAAATGAGCAACGAACAACGTTGGAATGTTTCTGCGAAAGGCGACATTTTTTATAAAGCTTTTTAAGAAAAATTTTACGTGATTTTTTAAATATTTTTCTAGATATAAAACGTCATACCTTATGTACACCCGATTTGTTGTTCAATATATGAAACTTCGCCTCAATATCCGGTAACATAATGGTGCACCAGCAGCTTGGAAAATAGCTTTTCCATTTCCTAGAATTTCAACAAAGGTTTTATTGAATACGTCCAATAGAAATTGATACGTTTATATCCTATATAGAAAAACTCCTGGCTTATAATTTCATTTTACTTTGATGCTTATATTACATTATAAATTTCCTATTTATTCAATCGTTAATGAGCAATGACAACAATAAAATTTAATTATTATAGTGTGTGTTTACCAACATTGTAAATAATGAAACGACCAGAATATAAATGAAATTGTATCTGATGTTATAGGGACACGTAAATATTAATGAATACCAAAGCTTGTTTGGTTTGCAGAACATGTGACGACGGATTATAGAACTTTTCAAATACAAGGTCGGTTGAGAGTTGGAAAATTGATGAATCCCCTGTCAGAAATTTACTCGATAAATATTTATCACTAAAATTGTTCATGGATGAAAAAAAAATCATAAAATGACCCTCTTACATCGACGAAGGTCTAATAAAATTGATACAACAACGTAAGTGAAAGCATAATATTTAACTAAAAATAAATTTTCTCCAAATAATTTTCCAAAGTAAATTTTTATCTTATAGGGCAAACATGATTTTCGCTGGTTGAGTATTTTTTTTATGGCTAGGGTAAAGAGTAAGCGCAAACGATATTGATATAGGTGCCCTTTTCGTCTCGACATGATGCTCTGCAGGGGAAACCCGAATATGCCTAAATCGGAAATAAACTCTATTTCCCTTGGAACGAAGTTTTACTTCGGCATCGCATGACACAGAGAGCCTAATATCGATCCAGACTGCCCAGAACGTACAAAGTTCAGAATGGAAACCTTGGTTTAACGGACCGTGAAGAGGGACAAACAGGCTTTGTGGTCAACCTAGGCAATCCTACAGGAACAAATTATCGCGACTTAGCGAAATGGATTCCTAAGAGAAAGGGTACTACGTAGTAAACAACTCTTAGAATGTAAACACCAATGCACTTATATTATTAAAGATTATTCTAAAATATTAGAAAAGTAATCCAATAAAATATTTTTACGAGATCAATTCCAAAATGTAGGAAAATAGTAAAATATTAACAGTGCCCAAAAACATAAGCTATTTCAGTCACGTAACAGAATTTTGCGATCGAAACTGTAATGTGAATGCCAAATTCGAAAGCTTCACCCGATATAAAATATTGAATTGCCGTTGAACATTTTATTACCGCACTGCATGTGACATCACCACTTATCTTTAATTTAACTACCAACAGGTGATGTTGGTTAAAGCCAGTATGAAGTATCAAGTAGTTGTTTATTTAATATTTGTGTGCTAGTAATAAAAGCAAACAGTTTTAATAAATGTGAGAAACTCAACCTCACTAAATTGTTGTTACGCATAATATAAAAGAGAGTATATCCTGACAGAGCACTCAGGAATGGGGCACATGCATAATAATTGCATTAAAAATTACTCACAGAAATTCTCTTCTCCATTAAATACCATTTTAAACAAATTTGCGAGCTTTTAGTAGAGAACAAAATCCAATTACATACTCTTATTTCAATATACTATAGGTATCATATAATTTGAAAATTATTTAAGTGGAAATTGTAACTATAATATATATAACGGATTAATACGGGAAAGGGAGCGTCCGTTATAGCCAAAAGTCCATTACATGAAAAACTTTTAATTTGCACTTTACACTGTTTGAATTAATAATTTTACTGCACATAAATTTGAACAGCTATCCACACCTTTACGTTTTGTATTAATTAGTTTTACTTTTAGTTCAATCAAAAATGTACAACAATCTAGCGCTGAATAACAACTAAAACTAGAGCTAACACTAGCATTAGAACTAACACTAGACCTACAACTAGAAACATTCGGATTTAGCCGTCTTAAAAGACGTACGACTAAACCCGAAAGTTTCTAGTTGTAGTGTTAGTTCTAGTTTTAGTAAAATGAAAAATATACAACAATCTAACGCTGAATAACAACTAAAACTAGAACTAACACTTGAATTAGAACTAGAAAGTTTCAACATTGCTTATTATTCGGTATTCCTAATATAATCGTGCAATTTCTCCAGTATTTACGTTTTAATTGATTTTATTAAGAAAAATCGTCCAATTTTGACATTTTGGGGATTTATGCTATATAACAAGGAACAGAAGCACAAAGGAAAACAAGAACAGTTGTAACAGAAACATTTTATACCTGTTCCCCAAAAATACTAGTTTATATCTCTATAAACGACATTGCCACACTAAAATTTAAATACATTGTTTATTACTCCAAGCTAAATTTAATAAGTGTATTAACATACAACTTAATATGTTTTAGAAACATACCTATATATTTATATTAATTGAAGAGACATGAGTTTATTTTAAGTATCGCATAGAAACACGAATACAATCACTTCGTTTGAGATAAAACGAGATCACCTATCCTCCATTCTCTCAATGCCTTTGTTGTTATGAACCAGATCTCTATCACGTGATTACTAGAGTTCGAACCGATTTCGAGAGGCTACCGTCAAATAGATTTAGTCATTGATTGTGTAACTGATGACGTATTAACGTAGATGATACCAATGAAATATATAATAGTAAATGCACCGAAAACCCCGATCAATACATCATGGTTTGGTGTACTATATTTCTCTCTCGGTTCATCTCACTTTAATCGATATAAAGATGTCTTTTCAATTGACTGAATTAAAAATTTGTTTTGTTTCAGATATTGGGCAGTGACGAATATAGACTACATCCATCAACGTACTTCAAAACGAATAGGAACGATGATCGTTATCATTTGGTGCGTGTCTTTCCTGGTATGTATAGCGCCGCTTTTGGGATGGAAAGATCCTCAATGGAGCGTAAGAATTCAAGATAGAAAGTGCATCGTTAGTCAGGATATTGGTTATCAAATATTTGCTACGTCTTCAAGTTTCTATTTACCACTTTTAGTTATATTAGTTTTGTATTGGAGGATTTTTCAAACTGCTCGTAAACGAATACGTAGGAGGCAAATTTTGAACAGCGCAAATAATCCTGCTAATAAAAACCCGGCTGCTGGAGGAATAGCAGGAGGATTAGCGGCGGCGAGTGGAACCGGTGGAATAGCCGCTGCTGTTGTCACAATTATTGGAAGACCTTTGCCCACTATATCAGAAACGACAACCGCATTTACAACGGTTTCATCTAATAATACGAGTCCGGAAAAAACTAGTTTTGCAAATGGTTTAGAAGCCGATCCTACAACAACCGATGGCGGAATCAGCTGTTATCAACCTCAATACACTGTAAAACGAAAACTAAAATACTCCGCCGATTCTAAGAGAGAGCGAAAAGCAGCGAAAACTTTAGCCATAATAACAGGTGCTTTCGTAATTTGTTGGTTACCGTTCTTTGTCATGGCCATACTTCTTCCTATTTACAAAGATTCTTTTGAACCATACGTCGTATCCATTTTCTTATGGTTAGGTTACTTCAATTCCACCTTAAACCCAATAATCTACACCATTTTCAGTCCAGAATTTCGACACGCTTTCAAAAAAATTCTTTTCGGCAAAAACTATGCAAGACGCAATAGAAATTTCGGAATTAAACATTTTCAATGATGGCGGCAAAGGGATGTCTTGTCGCCTGATACCCAACCAACAGCCACGAGATTAGCGGCTACTGTAGCAGTTACTGCTTCTGCACCTAGAAACGTCACCTTCAAGTGTGACTGATCCATAGACAAGATTTCCCGCGCTTCGTCAACACATCAGTATCATCAACCATATAGAACTAACATGTGGAGTACAGCAAACATCAGACTTAGAAGACTTTTACGTAAGAAACCAATTGTAGATGCCAGCAGCTACAGTGAGGGAAAAGTGGAACGTGTTGAATGTTTTGAAATGAATGAGGTGTTATAGTGAGTTAAAAATAAAGTTGTTATGAAAATATAATGAAAAAACCAATGGTATTAACGGGTACAATTATATAAAATAAAGTCTATATGATAATTGATTATGTTAATATTATGTAAATCGCTGGAATTATTTGACGTGGACTATTTAAATATTTTCAGGGTAACTTGTATGTAACATTTTCAATAAAGAAAAACATGTTTATTTCTAATAAAAGTAATAATCAGTATATGAAGTGACATAATCAGGTACTATCAATTCGGAGATATGGGTAATCAATTCAAATAAGTCATGTTTTGGAATTTATCAAGTGCAGATGAACACAATGCAATATATTTTGCCACTCATTTACTTGATCAAATATCTCAATACACGGCTGGGATTTGTGGTATAATCTTTGCATACTCACACCTGATATAGCTAATAATTATTTATATAGGGGTAGGCCAAGAACAATCTTAGGTTTAAAGTTTAATATATTAATTTCTGATGCCAAGAAGTTGTTAACGCAAGGTCATTATTGCAGTCAACCACAGCATATAAAATTTCAGTATCAAGAGTTGTTTCATTGGAAGAGGTGTTTGATATTTTGAAAATTTTCAGTAAGTCTAAGCTAAAGAGTCAATACTGGTAAATAAATTTATCATACCAATATAAATTCAATATACATCTTTATAATTTACTCAAGCGTTTCCTTCACTTAATCCAATTTTAGTATTTTCTGGATTGAACATTAGTCACAAAAGGCAGTAAATGACATCCACACTTGATTCTTCTCAAGTTTGTCACAGTTTGGTAATACTGTAACGATAATCGCTAATAAGTCCCAATTTACTACCATGGTCTGTACATAGAAAGAAAAGTAGGTAGAAGTAACCTTCGCTGGAGAACAAAGACTAGAGAGAGCAGATATTAAAGAAATTAAGGAAGGACATTGCACAATAGAGGAAATTAAGCTGCCGATGAAATAATTTAATAACGGCATATCACCAAGTCTGGACAATATCCTACTGAGCTGTTGAAGTGGTGAGGAAATGGACTAGCAGAACAAATCTGTGTAATAAACTGCAGGATGTACAAACTACAGAGATCTAGAGAAAGTATCGTTATTCCACTCGTTAAGAAAGGAACATAATCAGACGCAGAAAATTACTGAAGAATATCCCACCTAGACACATACATGAAACTGTTTTCCCGTCTCCTACAGCACCGCATTCTTTGTTGCGATTCAACATTATTATGGACTCACAGAATCACAGAGCAAAACACGTATGAGATGGGAATAAACATTGATTGCAAACACAGAAGATGGTCTGCCGGCTTTTATAATACAGGCGAAAAAATCAACATCATGACGTGATAGAACAAATAACAGACTACACTTATTTAGGCGTAAGCATATCTTCTTATGAGGAAGCTCTAGAACAAGGTGAAAAAACAGGTCAACAAGTCAACCAGAATACAATGCCTGCATCAAGCCTGCAATAATGACATATACTGCAGAGGCGCAGGCAGATACAGCGGAAAAATGGATGGTATGTACCAGCGAATTCGAATCAAAACGAAAATACACAATGAGATTAGAAAAGAAGCAAGAGGATTCGGGAAGAATGCAAGATGGATGCGCACACGTAGGGGACTCTGAAATGAACACGTTTTAGAATAGAAAGAAATAGACCTGCCAAGGTTGCAGGCAGAACAGAATGGGTAGAACAAGCCTCTAGGACTGTCGCAATGAAGAAATAGAAGATATAAATCCATTATAATTTACGAAAAATAAATTAACTTTAACTCGTATTGGACCTTTTAATAAATGTCAGATCGATCAACATCAGTGATTTTCATCTCCACCAGTTTCCGGATGCCTTCTAGTGAGAATAGCGTGCCATTAAGATGTTGAAGGGATATCTTTAGCTATGTTCGGGTGCTATATTGTGTGGAGGGTTTTTAGAGGTTTTTCATTACTACGGTTCACACATAAAACTAATTCAGAATTAATTTACAACTTACTTTTCACCAATTCGCTTTTTATAATAATACTGTTGACACCGTGAGATTGAGTGAAACTTAATATGATTTAGTGTTTAGTTACATAACTAACTATAAAATAAGCGTAAGGTGACGTAAATCGGTTTTCTAGTCGAATTTATGCTTCTGTAAGAGTGAGCCCGAAGGCAATTACGCAGTATGGACAAATGTAGATTTTGCAGGGATTTACTAAAATATGTAGGCTATATTATTGGTGTTGGTAGTTTGAATGTAAATTTTAATCCGATTTTTTCTGCCATCAGCCGATTTTTTCATTAACGTCTTAAACGATCAAGAGTATACAGTTTGTCTATTCAACTGTATGTAGATGTGCTTGGGATAAGATTAAGAAATGCATGTTCTACATCCCTGCGTTTACTCCCCCATATTTTACTGTGAAATTCGTAGTACTGACTATAACTAATCATTTTAGTTTAGTTCGTGTCGCAAAGTTAATTATAAACCTCGCCATAACTTAATATTGTTACTAATAATTTCCACACACCAAATCGAGACATTCAAAAGATCTTTTAGTTTACATGTTGATATTTGATTTTATTAAAAATAAACATGTTTCTCTTTGAAACGCTTATTACAAAGTACTTTGTAATAAAGATACATATCTACTTATACACAAAAAATGTAGATAATCTTCCACAATATGAATTAACCATCAAGATAATAAATAAAACCTTATCTATTATACAACGAAAATGTTCTCTAACATAGTATTAATATAAAAACGCGAGAATATCTTTTTTTTCTAATATACAAAAACATCGAAATTTATGATTTTTTTTTCAAGATTCTTTTTGTATGCTAGAAAGAAATACTTTTATGCTTCGAATAACTTCAGCGATTTGTACATCGACTGAAAACGACCATGTACATAATCACAACACACAAATTCGTTTAGATGTAGAACAAAAATAATACCTAAACAATTTAAAAAATAAATAAGAAAAGACACAAAGATGAATGTTGCACCGACCAATAATATAAATATTTTTGCTAATTAGGTTAGCGATATTGATTTATTAATTAAAAAAAGATAAATATTAATTAAATACCAACAGAGAAAGAGAACTGAGAGTAATCGCACGTTGACTGTTATTTATTAACGACTTAATTAACTTTAAGAACCCTTTAAAAAGATTATTAACCGTATTTAAATGATGATTGGTAGATTTACTTAAAATTGTGTCTGTGACTTATATGAAATTCTGCAATAACCGTAATTACTAGGTGTTTATAAATTTAATTTTTTATTTCTTAGCCAACGTACAATAGTATTCAAAAATCGTGTCATACGAATTATAACAAATTATTTTGTAAAAATTATTGATTATAAGAATCGTTCGTGACAGGATTTTTGAACTAATCGGTTCATACAACGTAGTTAAGTGCATCATATACAGCCCATTCCATTCGATCATTGTGATGTACAATCAATTATTGTGTTTATGAAAGAATGATTGGAACAATACAGATTGAATGAGCTACGCTGACCATCCACATTAGAATTACAAATTTTATCGACATCTAAATGTCTATGAATATGCATCTAACAACAAAAACATTGTATAGTACTAAACTTGTATATAAAAAAAAAAGTCTTGTATATTAAACCGTGTGTATATAAATGAAAATATCAAAAGTCTTTTGTCAGGTACAATTATATGCTTTTCGAGCCCAGAGCATGTCATTGATCCTTTAAAAATCTAATTTTGTGAATACTGATGTATAAAGGAGATATTAAGAGAGTATAATATTATATGGTGTTAATGTTGTTTGTAACAATAAAATTCTCTTTTTGTTTCATTTTTTTTCTTTTTATCATCCCTCATTAATCTTAAAAATGACGTTAAAGAAGATTGATTAGGTAAGTAAAAAGTCTTATTAGATCTTTTTAATTTAATTTACAAAGCGTAGTTAACTAACCTTAATAATTAAAATCCACGCAATTAGATTAGTTACACTTTTTCGTTTTAACCGTTTTAAAGGCGAGAGAAAATCTCGGATTTGGAATCCTCGGATCTGAGGTTTTCACTCCAATAGTATTTCTTCAACACGGGATAGCAATTCTTAAAGTCAGCATCTCCGTCGTATAGGTTGAAAGTCGTTAAAATAATTAAACTCTCTTGAGTCGAGAGGAGAAATCGATAAGTTACGCCACTACTAAAAATTGAACTTCTTTTCTACTTTTACAGCTTGAAATTAAAACGGAAAACGAATGAAAATTTCCATTTTTAAATTAAACAATAACCGAAATTCTATTCTCTTATTATTTGTAAAATATAAACAAATACTACTAGTATTTACAATAACTAAATACGCCTTTGATCCTTGGAACCTTTGATTTGTCCCCGTCTCAGCAAATTAATTAACCTAATTAATTCTGGATTGCATTGTCACTCCCTTAGTAGTAGTAATCAACTCCTAGTTCTAGTGCATCCTAATATAGCGACTTGTTTTCCTCGCTCCAAACAATTAATTGTTTAATTTTGAAAACACTTTTAATCGTAATACTCGAAACATAAAGTAAGATCCATCTCATTATAATTCGTGCCGTCCGTTTCTACTAAAACTTCGACGTTAACCAGGTTTAACAATTTAACTTTAAGAACTTCCCAAAATGGATTTTCACCTGTTCAAAGCTACGGGATTTGAATGCAGCATGAACTTTCGACTTGCTAAATACACCAACTACGACACATAAATGCATTACAAGTTGCCGTTTTACGATGAGTAAGTTTAAATTAACTGTAATTACTTAAATAAGTATATGAGGAGGGTTATTTTCATTGGAACAAGAAATTTTTTTACTTTTTTGGGAAATAAGCGTCATTTCTTTTAAGATTATGTGGATTTGAGTGAAAAATTATGATGTAATTAAACATCTCTTCTTCTGCAGGCTTAGTAACATTGTCAATAAGCTGATCTCCTTGCGATAACTCAAAATTATAAGATAAGCTAATCACTTATCCAAGTTCATCATTGAAAAAATTAGAAATTTTTGCCACGTTGAAGACATTTCAAAATTCACTACTACTTCTTACTTGGCGTTAAAAAAAACTACCTACTGTACAAAACTCCTCAACTTCACAATGCAATATCATACATTTCCAATATAATAAGCCGAGGTTGGTAATCATTATGCCGAGGTCGCTTGCGGCCGAGGCGCTACAATTCCTTGGTATATTTTTCGAGTTGATAGACTGTTAATTGTAAGTGTTTCGGGCTTAATCGGCTTTTGGTAAAATTTAAAGAAGAATATGTTAGATTGTGTCTATAATTAAACCGAAGTCACTTTTCGCCGAGGTGCAACAATATCATGAGAAGTTTCGGGTTTATGTGACATTAATTATAAAGCTTGAAATGGCTAAATTCAGAACAGAAAATGAAGAACATTGGCTATAATTAAGCTCAGATCGCTTGCGGCTGGGGCTTTATAATTTATGTCAAATCAACCCGAAAGTAGTTATTACATTGCACGTTATAGATTTTCTGTACAAACTATAACCGAGATCGGTTGTGACCGAGGCACTACATTGTATTAACTAATTTCCGGTTAATATGAAAGTAATTCTAAAGCTTCGATTGCGAGTGATGTCGGCTAAATAACTCCAGAGAACGTTGAATTTTACTTAATTAAACCGATGCCGCTTGGGGTAATCACATTCCAGCGCCTCGATCGAATGCGGCCTTGCCTCAATCGTGCAGAATCACACATTTGCAAAATAATCAGACGAAGTTAATAGTCTCTTTAATATACAAAAAAGATTATAGAAAGCAGATAAGTAATTATAAGCAAATAACTTTATTTACAATGATATACAAAATAGAGCAATATGTTCCATCTTAGGAAGATTAAACAAGCTTTAAGAGAAACTTGAAAAAAAAAATGGATATGATTTCCAATACTCATAGTATTTATTTGATTTGATAAAGTGTTTGAAAGTGTACAGAATGCAGCATTGGAATTAATGGGTGAATAGAGTAAAGTTTGCTGAATAATGAAACCAAACCACTTTATATATCTCAATCAAAATACACCGCTAATAACGCAAGGGAAGAAATAACACGCAGAATGGCATTGGGATAGAAAATCCAAAAGCATAGAAATGAAAAAAAAAAAGAAAATTGTAAAAATCATGACAGGGAGCATGATTTATGGTTGCGAGACGAGAACATTAACAAGTAAAATAATAAAGAAGATCACAGTAACAGCAAGAGCAATCCATAGGATGATTGGAATTATGAAATAAGATACAAAGACCAAGAGATAGATGATATCGGCAAAATATTACTTGAAAGAAAATGGAATTGGCGGGTCATACAATAAGGGCATGAAATGGACTAACAAAATTTTAGCATAATACCTAATAAACAAAAGAAAGAAAGAAAGAAGGTAGACTAACAGCCAGCTGACAATGAGACGATAAGTTGAGAATGACGGAAGTGTAAGCTAATATAGAGTAGCTTGGAACCGACTAGAATGGAATAGAATGGATAGTACAAAGACGTGTGGCTTTACCTGGATTACACCTCAAGACAATTCGAACTCAATCCCAGTAGAGGAACACTGAGGTTAACACCGAAATAGTTACCCCCATAAATGTGAATGAATTAATTTATTTTGAAGATAAAAATTAAGTTTAATATAAAAATGTATATCATTGAATTGTAATTTTTATTGGTAATTGTTGGTAATTGTAGAGCCTCGGCTAAATAAGACCAGAGGACTTTAAATTTTACTTAATATTAACAACAAGCTTTAATAGAGTCTTGGTAGTGAACAACCTCGAATAAACTAACAGAGGACGTTGCATTTTAATTAATTAAGCCGAGGTCATTTGCAGCAGAGGATCTATCATTAATGATAAATCAACCCAAAACTAGTTTTGGTATTTTCGAAGTCTAGCCAACATTCTAAACTGGAAAAAATGTCTGGATGTACACTGGCCAAATTCTAAACACCTAAAGAATGTCTGTAGTTGCACTAATGCACCATTTTTTTGTGCTAGCTAATCTCCCATTTCACTTTCATTGACAATCCGGATGGATAATACTTTGAATCTTAAGACCAAGTCCATTTTGCTTAAAACGGATGGAAAAAGTAACCACTATTATCTTCGAAGATTTTTGCCGACGTTTCCAAAGGTTGTAATCATAGACGAGTGGCGAATATTGATCCAAATCCTCGCTATTATAATGTAGACATATAACGTGTTCTGGACAGCAATACTAATCGCTTTGTGGCTGTCATGATATTTGCAGGTAAGTCAAGTTTCTCATGGTCTTGTTGTTCGTGATACTTAGGGCCGGCTTCGAAGACTTCGGCAGGCACGCTACCATGGTATTTTTTAAGAACAAGCAGCAAACATTTCGAGTAGAATTCGCTCCAATCATTTCTTTATTCATCTAGAGTTCGAAATTAACTGTAAATTTTAATTTGTCATTTGGACAAATACTCTATTTGCATTGAATTACATCAATCCCCTCACAGACACTGTTATCTTAATATCACAAATATTTGTTGGCGCCTCCTCATTCAGTATCTAGTATCTAGGCATGTAGAATATAACATTTCTTATTTTGTCCGCCACATAAATCACAATACAATACACGATTTCGTTAAACTGAGATATTTTGTAGCAATATTGGTGACACACAAACAATAAAACGGAATTTAAAGTGAATAAAGGGTTTCTTTTGCCAAAGTGGGTAAAGTCTGAACCTGCTGTAGGTTGAAACGTTACGAAATTTGCTTCGGTTTCATTCATCCACATGTTAAATTGTTTAGCTTTACCTTTATGAACTTTTAAATCTCGTGGAAGATCGTCGTTTTGAGATTTTATTTTATTTCGTACTTCAAACTCTCGCAATAGCTGCATATATCAGTCGCTGGTGTACCGAAACGCAAATTAAAATTTGTAGAGAAAGCTTTCTCCACATTCTTGATTTTTTTTACAATGTACAAAATATGTTTTGGAGAGATTTCAAATAGCTTCTCAAAGAATTACTTGAAAACAATAAAAATTTCTTTACCTTTGCGTAAAATTTACATAATTCACAATTTAGTAGTTAAATGTATTTTACTCACTACCGAACATGAAAGTTAAGAAGCTTGAATTTGCAGTAACAAACATTGAATTTTGGCTATTTCTAGTGTCAAGATTATATCTGTGAACTAATACTTTTCCAAAATCATTCATTTTATAACTATGAATGTTTGCTGACGACGATGACAATAAAACACTACATGACATGTAAACAACGCAGCGACACGTGCACTACTAAACCCTGTGTAAAGGATTTGTGTACATTTGGAACAAAACATGAAATTGTTTTTTGAAAATATTATTTTCTAGACTTATTGTTTCGCTTTGTAAAAACATTATTTTATGAATGTACTCTTTGTGAATTAAATTTACAACACAGGAATTTAATACAATTTGATACAGTAGCAAGAAAGCGATGCACTGGGTTTGAAGAACCTCATATGTTCTTAATTAAAAAGTACAATAATTGTATTGATAACGGAAATTGCGTAAAAGTAGTTAATTGAAATACTTTTGTTTTAGAACGAATTTCATGTTATTCTTACATTTATTTATTATTGAAAAATTGACGATAAAAATTAGTGACGTTTTAAAAGTTTTTGAAAAGACGTCATTGACGTTAAACTTTTACTGGGCCCATTAGAGACCCTTTCATCGTAAATTTCTGGATGTATTCTAAAGGTTAACCCGTGAGCGACATGAAAATCGACATGTTGTCGACAAGTTTTTATCGATAACGAACTTTGCCACTTCCGA